GAGGGGGGCGGGTTTGACCCGCCCACCTCAAAAAAGAGACCACGACGGCGGTTAGAAGATCTCCAAGATGTTTCTGATGCTGGCGGCGGAGGTGGTGAGAAAGACTCTTATATGGCATATCGCAAGCCCAATTATAAAAGGTTATATCCTGAAAATTCAATTAACACAGAATTTAAGGTTTTCATTCAGAGCAAAAATATACAAGACAAGCTGGGAAATAAAAGCCCAATATATTTGAATCAGATATTTTCCGATATTAAAGGTGTGGTGGCAATAAGGCGTATTGGCGCAAATAAAATTGTTGTGATCTTCAGACAACATAATACAGCTAACAATTTGATAAATAATAACAGCTTTCTTGATAAACACGAAATGAGAGCATATATTCCAGCAGCTCAAATTGAGAAAACTGGTATTATCAGATTTGTGCCCACAAATATTACAAATAGAGAACTATTTGCTAAATTGACTTCTACAAATGAAATAATAGCAGTTAGGAGATTTGTGAAAAAAATTGGTAATGAATTAGTCAGAACACAAACTGTAAGTATCACATTTCTGGCAAATACTTTACCTGAAAGTGTCCAATACGACTTATTTTTTTATAGAATATTTGAATATGTTCCTCCTCTGCAACAATGTTTTAAATGTCTTAAATTCAATCATTTTGCAAAAATATGTAATGGCAAAGAGCGTTGCTCTATTTGTTCAGGTGAACATTCCTATAAAGACTGCACTAAGCCAAATGAGATTTGCTGTGCTAATTGCAACGGACCTCATTTAGCTATTTCTAAATTGTGTCCCATTAAAATGAAGAAAACATTAGAAAAGAAAAATAAAATAACTTATGCAAGCGTTGCCAATACAAAAGATAATGATGAGTTCCCTCCTCTTCCACCACGCTCCAACCCTATAAATAAAAAAGTAATTAATGTAAATAATAAACCTAATGTAAAACATGTAAATAAATCTGTAAATAGTATAAATGATATAAAATTACAAATAATTGAAAACAGTGATGTACTTATGGCCCTGGTACAAACACTGGTTCAAATAGGTAATAAGGTTGATAATGAACCCATCACTGCAACATTTATAAAAGATATACTTATTAAGAATCTGTCAACATAATGGATACACAACCATATATAACACACTCTCTACATATTGCGCAATTTAATGTTCAAGGTGCAAATAATAAAAAACATCTTCTTACAAAATTCTTAAATGAAAAAAATATTGATATTTGCTTACTTAATGAGACATGGTTAAAAGAACACCATTCTTTTTATATTTCTGGTTATAATTTCTACAATAAAAATTCAAAAAATCCTCGTAATGGTGTAGGAATATTAATTAAACCATATTTGAAACATAATGTCATAAATACTACTTTTTATGAAGATATACAGACAATAGCCATAAGTATATACACAGAAAATACTACTATATCTATTCTTTGTGTGTACTGTCCTCCGTCCAGTAGGAATATAAGAATGAATAGATTGCACAATATTATAAGAGGATTACCAAAACCTATTTTTGTTAGTGGTGATTTCAATGCACATCATATTGCTTTTGGATGCCTGTCTACGAAAAGTCGAGGCAATAACTTATATAATATAATTGATGAATGTGATTTATGTATTTTGAATAATGGTAGTTTTACTACAGTAAATTATCCTACACGCAACCCCTCAGCAATAGATGTAAGCTTTGTTAGTCCACAGGTGGCTCCACTTTGTGAATGGTATGTACATGATGATGCTATGGGTAGTTATCATTATCCAACCATAACTAACATTACAATGTGCATTGAAAGATACACAATTAATAAACATGTTGACAGATTTTTATATGATAAAACAGATTGGACAAAGTATAGCGAATTGTCTGGTTTGGTCTTCCATGACATGATGGTTAGTGAAGAGAGTCCAATGAAATCTTATGATGAGTTTTGTAGTCGGCTTAATAAACTCAAACTAATGGTAGTTCCTAGATTCACTAGGACTAACTTTAGGAGTAGACCACCAGCCCCCTGGTGGAACAGTATATGTGAACAAGCCGTTATAAAATCATATGAAGCCCTGAAATTGTATAGAAACAATTCAACAGAATATAATTACATCAACTATAAAAGATTAGATGCTTTAAAAAAACGCACTATAAAGGAGCAAAAAAATCTGTTGGATTGGTTTTTGCAATAGTTTCAATAGAACTACACCCATCAGTCAAATATGGAATCTCATTAAAAAGTTTAAGGGAATCAGAACTGGTAATAAATCATATAGGGATGAATTTGTACAGCCACTTTTAGATAAGTTATCAGATAATAACAATTTAGTTGATTCAGATTCATTAGACAATTATTTTAATATTAACAATGAGAATCCTCAATCAACATTTTTACTGGATTCTTTTTCATGGTCTGAACTTTTAATGAGTATACAATCTAGAAGAAATACTAGTCCTGGTTTAGATGATTTTCCATATTTATTAATAAAACATTTATCTGAATCTGTACAAAAGATATTTTTGAATATTCTTAATAATCTCTGGCATAAGAAACTCATACCAAGTTCATGGAAAACTCAATGTGTAATACCTATATTAAAACCAGATAAGTCACCTGAACAGATTAGTTCCTATCGTCCAATCTCGTTATCATCATGTATTGGGAAAATATTTGAAAACATGGTAAAATCTCGACTTGACTGGTATGCAGAATCCAATAATGTCATACCACATATTTAATATGGCTTCCGTAAAGGAAGAAGCTGTGCCGATAGCTTCATTTCTCTGATATCCGACCTGAAAAATGCAAAAAACAATAAATTACACACAGTTTGTGTATTTTTAGATGTGCAAGGTGCATTTGACAGTGTGGATCCTGACATACTGGTGAAAGTACTCAGTAATTCTGGTATACCTGGACAATTATCTAAATGGATTTATGATTTCCTTACTAACAGAATACTATATGTTAGGCATAACAATATCTTGTATGGACCTAGAACTGCATCAAAGGGTACTATACAAGGTGCAACTTTATCGCCCTTGTTATATAATTTGTATACTTGTGAGATATGTAAATATGTAAATACTAAAAATGTAAATATACTTCAATTTGCAGATGATTTAGTGTTGTATAGTTCTGATGTAAATTTAACAGTAGCCATTGAAAATGTTAACACTGGATTAAAGCAGTTAAGTAATTATTATCAACACAGATTAAATTTGAAAATAAATGCTGCCAAAAGTAATGCCATGATATTTGGAAAAGACACACCAATAGTAGATGTTGTATATAATGGTGATGTCATTCAAAGAGTCACCTCACACAAATTTTTGGGTATTATCATTGACCAGAAGCTGTCATTTGAAGAACATATTAAATATGTATCTAGAAATGCATTAAGAGGTGTTAACATTTTAAGATGTCTAGCAGGTGTTTCATGGGGTGCAGATCCCAAAATACTATCTATATTATATAAATCTATTGTAAGAAGTCATTTTGATTACAGTTCTTTGGCTTATTTAAATAGCACTCATACACATAAATTGGATATATTGCAGAACAGGGCTTTGAGGATCATATCAGGAGCAATGTGTTCGACTCCCATAAGGGCCATGGAAGTCGAAACTAATATTATGCCATTGATATTGAGACGACTTATGCTTACAGAAAGATACTGTCTGAAACTATTATCATCAAATAATTTACAAATTATAAACAGGATAATACCTCACCCTATCAATATAGATGGTCCTCTCACTTCACCAAATGATCTTCTGACAGGTACATCTCCAACTTTGTGCCAGATCTTTACAGAAATACAATCTCATTATTCAAACATCAAAAAACATTCTCACTGGTCGTGTTACACTCATTCATACAGTTGTATCACACATCCTATTACGATTTTATCAAATTCAATTGAAAATAATTCGGACTTACTGGCTTTCAAAGAAGAAAATAACAAGTACTATACTATATATACTGACGGCAGTAAAGGCAATGATTTTGTGAGAAGTGCGGTATATGATTCCCAAAAAGATGTTGCTCAAAGCTTTGTTCTAGATAAAAACTGCTCCATATTTACAGCAGAGGCATATGCAGTTTTTGCAGCTTTAAAATCGATTACTTCTATAAACAATTGTAAATATTTTCTAATTTTGACAGACTCTTTGAGTCTTTTAAATAGTCTTAAGCATGTTACTCTTAATAATTTTAAAACCAATTATATTCTCTATTTAATTAAAGATACTGTCTTGCGGTTGTATAAGACAGATGTAACTATTGCCTTTGTGTGGGTACCCTCACATAAAGGTATTACTGGTAATGAAATAGCAGACAAAGCTGCATATGAAGGGATTAACACTCTTAATGTCAGAAATGTGGTACAGGTTCCTATGACCGATTATTATTATAATATAAATAATTCAATAAAAGATATATGGGCAAATTTATGGAAAGAAGATCAAAAACTTAAAGGAAAATGGTATGGAAGTATACAAGAAAATTTACTGAGAAGACCCTGGTATGAAGATTATGAGTTGGATACAGTTAGTCGTGAGTTCGTTACCACAATCAACAGATTGCGTTTTGGTCACAACACTGCACCCGCACACCTCGCTAAACTTAATATTATAGATAACAATGTTTGCTCTTTCTGCACTAACGTAAAATACTATCCTAGTCTGTAGTCTGTCATCTATACTCTACATGCTCTGGTCTGTGCTCTATACTCTACAAAGTATTATACATTGGCCTAAAGGTCTAGATACCAGGCCATAAACTCCTAAAAAAAAAAAAAAAAAAAAGTATTATACAAGCTCTGTGTCTGCAGTGCGAAATATAAATAATAAAATATAAGTCTGCGGGATTAAATATTATCTTAAATTAAAATACTATACACTTTAAAGTTCAAAGTCAATAGTACAATTGTATTACTCTTAAAATTGTCATAGATAATAACGGAAAATTTTCTGAAAAACAAATGGAAAAATCTAAAAAAAGAGCTCCCAATTTCAATGATCAGGAAAGAAAATTCCTTTTAGCACTCGTAAAGAAGTATGTATAACTAAGTTTTGATGAATCTAGAGTCTAGACGCTAATTCGTGAAACCGCCTTTACAATAGCTGACAATGCCTGCATATTTCACTCATATTTTAAGTAAACATTTTTTATCTGGAAATTGGCAATGTTTATAAAATATCACTCAAATGAGAATTAGGACCTATTAGTAAAATTTTTTTATAAATATCAAGTTTTTATTGTTATAATATTGCAGATATAAACATGTTATTGAAGCCAAAGGCTCTTCAACTAGTGACATCCACAAAAAGAATGTTGTATGGGCAGCTATATGCAAAGAATATAATAGCTTATGTACCACAGGACCTCGAAGTACTGCTATGCTTAAACATTTCTACTTTAATATTAAGCACCGATCTAGATTGGAAGTATCAATAAGAAATGTGAGTAAAAATTATCCTTTTTATTCATTCATATATATGCTAGCAATTAAATCCTTAATGTCATTGGAAGTCTTAATAAGATTGCCATTGTTTAGCCATTGCCATTATTTAAGAACTAGGATGTATAAGAAGCTTGGTTTTTTATCATCTATTATATTTGATTAAAATAATTTTATGTAAAACTAGATAAATGCAGTGTAAGCTAAAGTTTGTGCTGTACTATGGATATTATGATGTTTACCATAGCTGTATGAAGGTCATATATCTTAATATATATAAATTACGTGTCACGTTGTTTGTCCGCTATGGTCTCCCTAAACTACTTATCTGGTTTCAATCAAATTTGCACACCGTGTGTCTCAATTTATACCCGCAATATTATTTTATTGCAAACTATTTGTTTATTATTTGATAGGCACATTTCTAACAGATGGCGCTGTGTTGAAAGTACCAACGTTTCACATAAGCTACAATTTAATGGCATAACCACCAAAAAAGCATGGTGGTCCCCATGACTAGTGTTCTCCTACCGTTTCCCCTGAATAGTTTACTACTATGTAATATACCTTAGCCACAGCAAAGCTTGGCAGAGTCTGCTAGAACTGTATATGTAGATTGATTAATGGATGCAAAATAATTAGGTATTCTGACAATTTAAGAGCCTATTTTATTTGAAATAGATAGATATATAATAAATTCACCTAGTCTAATCTTAAGTCTTTGAGAAGTATATGAAATAAAATTTCAGGAACTAAATGACGCTTCTCTAGGAAGTATCAGTAGCAATGATGCTTCGAAAGATGGATGTGATGGAAATGTATGTATAACTTATAGTTTGTTAAAGATACCTTGTAATCTATCCAAGTAATCAATTTAATTTAAAACTATTTTAGACAGATCAAATAGCAAATGTGTTGAAAAATCTAAAGCACGCAAGAATGGCCCAGTATGAGTTGGTTACGGAAAATCCAACGCAGGATTCTGATATAAGAATGGGTAATTCTCATTTTGGTAATATTTTTTTAAATGATAGAGTATTACATTTATTTGTTTGACTTGTAACGGACTAGATATATCTATTACATATTTAGACACAATCAAAGATTTATCTTAATATATATAAATTACGTGTCACGTTGTTTGTCCGCTATGGACTCCTAAACTACTGAACCGATTTCAATCATATTTGCACACCCTGTGCGGTTTGATCTAACTTAAAAGATAGGATAGCTTACATCTCAATTTATATCCGCAATATTATTGAATTGCAAAATATTTGTTTATTATTTGATAGTCACAATTCTAACAGATGGCGCTGTGTTGAAAGTACCAACGTTTCAAATTAGCTACAATTTAATGGCATAACCACCAAAAAAGCATGGTGGATTGGTGTTCTCCTGCCGTTTCTCTTGAATAGTTTACTACTATGTAATATAACTAAAACCTTCGCCACAGCAACGCTTGGCCGGTCTGCTAGTATAATATAGTTTTAAAATGTGTGTGTGAGATTTCTGTATCTATTTTATGATCACTTTTCTAATAATCAATTAGGTGATCAGTATTCTCTACTTGCCACATGTCTAAGGCATGACATTTCTTAAGATATTTTGCTTCACTGTGCCAGTAATTAAAAAGGTATTTAAAACTAAATGTTACAGAGTCTGTGGAAATAAATTCGAAGGGTAACAGTGGATCAGATTTTTCTGGTAAGTAATATGGTGCAAGAAAAATTTGAAATCTGTCCAGTTTTGAGCTTATTAATTACAAACATACAGGTGCGCTCAAGTATTAAGGAAAAAATCTTGGAGATTTTAACCCCCCTCCCAATGCAGCATCGTATTGTTTTACAAGATCTACCCTCAAATGGCAATAATTTAAAAAAGAAATATTTTTTTACCAGGGTTAACCGAAACCTGACACCCGCTTGGTATTAAGGGAAAAAGTTCTTGGAAAATTTAACCCCCCTCCCCATGTAGCATTGTAATGTTTTACAAGATCTACTCTCAAATGGCAATAATTAAAAAAAGTCATAACATTTTTTTTACCTGGGTTAAATAATAAAAAAAGGGTAAAAAAATTAAAAGCTTAGGTTCCTAGAAAAGCGGTGCCGTTAACTAACGGCCATTATTTTACAGTTGTTAATAACGGCCGTCGTTACTTTAACGGTACTTTTGAACATAATGCAAAAACAATTTTCCCTCGTCCAAGTCACGTTTCCACTCATTGTATTAAATTATATAGGCACCGCTACACGCGAAAAACGTTGAACTAATGTTTATCACCGCTATGACGGCCGTCATGCAAATTACAGCACCGCTATTTGACGTTACGGTGACACTCAACGTTCTATAGAAAACCTACTCCGATGTTATTTATAGACAACGGGTGACATCACCCAACGTTACATTACGGCCGTTGGATAACGGCACCGCTTTTCTAGGAAACCTAAGCTTAACCGAAACCTAACACCCGCTTGGTATTAAGCGAAAAAGTACTTGGAGATTTTAACCCCCCCCATGTAACGTATCGTAACGTTTTACAAGATCTACCCTCAAATAATTTAAAAAATGATTTTTTTTACCGGCTTGATGTTAATTTATGATACACCTGTATATTTCAGATGACTCGGAGGAAGATGAACCGGAGTTGGAGGTTGGCACTGACTTGTGGGCGTACTTCGAGAAGGAGTCTGATAGATGGGTCAAGTGTTCCTTGTGTGGTCAGCGGCTTAAGCAAGACATCGATAAGTTATATAAACATCTTAAGGAGGGACACTCTGTTGTTACTGGGGTGAGTTATACATACTTTAAAGATACATTTTTGACGTGACAACGTCTTATAATTCGATGGAGCCGGCTGCACGCACGAAAAAACATGACTCATGCGGCGTTACCTCGCTCTGAGGCGTTACCTCTCTCTGAGGCGTTACCTCGCTCTGAGGCGTTACCTCGCTCTGAGGCGTTACCTCGCTCTGAGGCGTTACATTTAAAATTGACATAATTGTATTTATGCGTACAAATAAATGTAACTTGATCAATTCAATTGTGATTTCCTATATCCATACAAAATACCTATCAAACAAATAAAATTTAATTTTTTTTTTTAAAAATGCAACCATCCCATTAATATTTTTTTATGACGTTGTCACGTTCAACTATCGTCAGTAAACCGACTTTACAGACAACCGATTTTTTTTAATTCGGAAAATTAAAAAAAAAACGTGTGTACACGCGTTAGAAGTTATATTTCTTTGGCGTAACAAGATAAAAATCTTCTACATACTAGAAAAAATGACGAAAAAATAAGGGAGCGTTCAAGTATTACGTCACGCAATTCTTGGAGATTATTAACCCCCCTCCATGTAACGCGCCGTAACGTTTTTCTGTACCCAATAGTAAAACGTTTCGTGACCACCAAAGTGACTATTTATACCTAAAAGTTAGCACTATGTGATGTAAAGTACTGGAAAGTCGAAAATAATATTAACAATAACGCGTAATTCAATCCCCGCCCCGCATCGTAACGTTTTACAAAAGGACCCCCCCCTCCCCAAAATTCGTAACGTAATACTTGAACGCTCCCTAATTAAAGAAATTGGTTTTTTTTTTAAATTTAAGCATGCAACTTATACATATTGATATTTACTATTTAATTCACGTCCATTGTTTGCAGTTCAGTAGACATGTGAGTTACAAGGGGCTTATGATAGCTAAAGTAAGAAACAAATATTATTATAGAAACATTGTCTAAATATTGTAAAAATACAGCATCAATCTTAATATATATAAATTACGTGTCACATTGTTTGTCCGCTATGGACTCCTAAACTACCGAACCGATATCAATCAAATTTGTTCCGGGTGCAGTTTGATCTAACTTAAAAGATAGGATATCTTACATCTCAATTTATACCCGCAATATTATTTTATTGCAAAATATTTGTTTATTATTTGATAGTCACAATTCTAACAGATGGCGCTGTGTTGAAAGTACCAACGTTTCACATTAGCTACAATTTAATGGCATAACTACCAAAAAAGCATGGTGGTCCCCATGACTGGTGTTCTCCTACCGTTTCCCTTGAATAGTTTGCTACTATGTAATATAACAAAAACCTTAGCCACAGCAACGCTTGGTCAGTTTGTTTGTAGTTTTATAAAAAACTGTTGTCTATAAATATATATAAAAATTGTTGACTATAGCTAACTTCAGGGTGTCGGTTTTTTGTGACGTGTGTGCGCCGGCAACGCACTTGCTCTATATAAATATTATTTTCATTGTTACCGAAAGTTAGTAATAAATGTTATGTCTGTCTAAATAGTATCAAAAATAAATGTTCACATCTTGATTTACTTTCAGAACAAAGATGAGAACTATACAGAGGTGATCTATCTAGAAGACCCAATAGAGAGTCAAGAAGAGAGAGTTCTGAAGGAGGTTCAACCGAAGGGGCTGAAAAGACCTGTAAGAGAACTGGTTCTTTACTAAAGTTATTTCAAAATCTTGTTATCATATACAGTAGAACCTCTATAAGTCGAACATCAAGGGAGACGCCAAAAAATTCGAGTTATAGAGTTTTCAACTTATGGAGGATTTCGACTTAGGCGGATTTTGATTCGACATAAAGAGTTTGAGGTTTATTCTTATAAATTGAACACCTGACACAAAGCAAGCAAACACGTGTTCCCATGAGTCATAAATTTATTATTGTATACTCCTAAAATGTTTTCTAAGAAACAATAGTGTACTCACATTGGCGGCAAGTTCTTAAAGTCGGTAACTTATTTTTGTTCGAACAATAGAGATAATAAATTCCAAATGATCAAGTTGTGAAGGTTGTAAAATAAAACGTTCCTATGTTCGAGATACAGAGGTCAAATTTAATTTTTCGAGTTATAGAGTGAAAATATGTACCAAAATGGCTTGGAGGGACTCGGTGATTATTTCGATTAACAGAGGGTTAAGATTTCAAGTAATGGAGGTTTTGGTGTTTTAAGGGAAGGGAACAGAACATTTTTTCGAGATTTGGAGGTTTTTGACCTATCGAGGTTCGACTTAACGAGGTATAATGTTTGTGACCGGATCTACTAAGGGAGCGTTCAAGTATTACGTCACACAATTTTTGGCGATTCTTGACCCCCCCCCCCATGTATCGCGCCGTAACGTTTTTCTGTACCCAATAGTAAAACTTTTCGTGACCAGTGACTTTTTGTACCTAAAGTTACCATTATCTGGTGTAAAGTACTGGAAAGTCGAAAATAATATTAACAAAAACGCGTAATTCAATCCGCGAGTTGTAATATATAGGACCAACCGGCGACGAATTCTCGAGGAATTTATGGACAAACAAACATACATTTCGGAACTAGTCTACGCCAATATTATCTAACCAACAATAAAACACAAATATTTTAATAATAAATTTAATCAATTTATTTTTGAGCGTGTCGTAAAAAGGCCGACAACGCACTCGTGAGCCTGGTATTGAGAATGTTCATAGATGGTATCACTTAACATCCTCATGTTTAGCCTCCTGCCCGTTTGCCCCCTGTTCTATATAAAAAAGGCCGGTAACGCACTTGCGTGCTTGTCATTGAGCGTGTCCATTAACATCAGGTTACCCTCCTGCCCGCTTGTCCCCTTCGTTGTATATAAAAAAGGCCGGCAACGCATTCGCGAGCTCTCTGACATTGGAAGTATCCATGGTCCATATCACTTAACATTAGGTTTAGAAACGATTTATTCAATATTATAATATTACAGAGAAACGACGCATCTGAAGTAGAAATCAGCGATTTTGGATTATACATAACAAGTTTATTGAAAGATCTACCAAGGAATGTGTGTGCGCAGCTGCAATTAAATATAGTTGATTTAATAGTAAAAGCGAAACTAGAAGAAACCGGACCAGATAATAGTATGGAGGTAGATCGTGGAAAAGATCCGATAGAAAATGAGGTAAGATTAGGCATTTCAGTTATTAATTAGCCAATGCCAAAACGCTTCTCTAAGTGTCTATGACGTAGCATGCTTGTAAACAAACTTTACGTGTCAATTGTCACTTAACTACACATTATTGTTCGATCAACCGGTCTCCGACGTAATTGAACTCCGAGATTGTATAAGCTACGTTATCGTTTTGTGTTACGTGACAGAAGTGTAAATTTTATTTATAACAAATATAATATCGAAATATAAAAATAATACAATGTTTATTTATAAATTCAATGTTTGTATTATTACGGCATTATTAGTATCCATATTATTTTTTAACAATAATTCATATATTATAACAGCGTATGAATAGCGTGCCTTCTAGCAATTAAAAGTAATAAAAACTCCATGGTACCAATTTCGCACGAAATTCTAAATCAAAAATAATTACAAGCTCTTTAATAGTCTGTCTACGGAGTAGCATGTGGTAGGAAAATGAAATTATTATAGTGTTCAGTACAATAAACACAATATATTAATAATTATTTCATAAGAGATTAAAGTACTTTCTGTCTCTTTCCATCACGCCGTAAACAGAATTTGATAGAAAGAGACGAACAATTTTTTAAAGGGAATAAATCCAACGTATTATTGAAATTATATCTATAAGTGTACGATAGTCGTGATCACTAATGCATATCTAAATTCTATCCTTTTTTTTCAGAACCAACAGAACACCAAAACAACCAACCAACCAGAAAACCTAGAAATATCAACGGAAAGCCAAAAAGAAATGCATAAAAAAACTAACACAATTCCAAAAAAACGGACGAAGCTAAAAAATGACGCAGCACATGAGAATATAATTGAAAATTTCGGAAAATATGTCGTATGCCTGTTAAAAACTTTCCCGCGAACAGATACCAATACGAAACTTCAGAAGGACATTGTTGATCTCATAATGACAGCTCGGCTACAGACTATGAAAAATAGATTGACAGATGGCACCATAGATAAATTAGGAATCCGACGGGATTTATTTGTAGAAATAAAATAGCGTTTCTATATTAAAATTGTTTTATTTAATGCTTGCTCTGTGTTCGAATAAAATTTGTATAGTCCTTTTCATGAAAGAAGTCCCCCAGACGCGGCGCTGCAATCGCATGACGTAATGTTGCCATTTATAAGTAAAAAAATTACCTATTTTATTTACATTTAGCAAATGTAATTTATCAAATAATATTATTTTCTGCATACTTCGATGAAACTATATATCTGTTATGTAAAAAGTATATTTTTATTTACTTATATTATCGGTGTTCTACCTACTTACAGGGAAAAGATGAGAAAATATGGTACAGAATTACGAAATAAATAAATACATAATAAATTTAAAAAAAAAAAAAATTTTTATTCAGAGTTTTATTACATAATTATTACGTAATTGTTGGGTTACAATTTTTTTCGAAGTACACGCCGCTGTTATACCTTCGTTTGTAATTCTTGTTACAGTTTTCTCTGACACACCTGCAATTAAATTATGAACAATTAAAAATAATAATAACTTTAAGTTTATAATGCTTATGTAATATATGTTTTAGTTTCAGTTACCTAGTTTCATCACGTAATGTATTTGTTCAATTTTGCCGCAAAAACGAATTTATATCATAAAAGTCCCATCAATACAGCAAAAAATTATTAAATGGCAACTCTAAAAAGTACCTATTATGGCGGCGACTCTCTTCCAATTTCCAAACATTGTTTAGTGGTATTAAAACACCTTGATTCAGTTCCGCTTCACAGAACTCTTTCACCTTTAATATCATTTCTTGAGCCGAACTTTTTACAACTTTCGGCATTGTAATCAATCTTTAAAATGCACTAAGCTAGTTAAACATTCACAAAAATCTACCACAACAAACGAACTTGATAACATCGACGAATGACAACATTGCCGATCTGTCAAATTTAGTTCCAAAAATCACCGCGGGACTTCTTTCATGAAAAGCACTATACGAAACTTCAAAAGGACATTGTTCAGGTAAAATTTCCACATATAAACTATATCCTTACAAAAATCACATAAACATCAAACAAATAAAAATCAGGGGCCTCATAGCCTAGCGGTCTTATTAAGTGGCAGCTAGGTGAGGGGTACCGGGTTCGATTCCCGGTTCGAGGGCAAGTTTTAATTTAAATTTGTTCTCGGCCTTTGGGATGGTTGTGCGGTACTGCTTAAACTGTACATGGAGGACACGGTCGAATTTTTAAAGACAAACACGAATTATAAAAAATCCTATACTTGACGCTGGCTAATGCACAAATCGTGTACAGAGCCATAAAAAAAAAACAAAAACAACGTGTGTGCACTTATGTACACGCGTTAGAAGTTATACCTCTTTGGTTGGTTTTTTTCGTCTCATTTCACGAAATTACTTTATTTACAAAAAACAGGATATTCATGTAGAAGAACAGGAGACATTTGAGAAAAACAGGAAATCTTCTGTTAAAGCAAACAGTGCAATACAAATAAGAGATCTGGCAACACTGACATTGAACGCGTTTTAGACAGTTCGGTAGCGTCAGCAGATTCAACAGCCATGTTGTTGATTATGGACAGTGGACCATTTCATTTTTGAATTTTCTTTTCTTAATATTTTAGTAGGTAGGCGTATTAAATACAGGGTACCACGAAACATGTTTATATTTGTTATAAAATTGTTTCAAATAAATTTTGCGACAAATTTTATTTGAATTTTTTTTTTATGCGCTCAACAGTTTTTGAGATAGAGTGCGTTTAATTTAATGATAAAATACTTTATTATGGTATTACTCATAAAGCTATAAGTAAAAATGGGTGTAAGGAAGACCCACGGTGTAAGGAAAAATGGATAAAAATTATACAAGTAGACAAAAGAGATGAAGAGTGGCTACCTACAAAATTCAGCAAAGTTTGCTCAGCACATTTCGAGGCAAATCATTTGTATGAGACGCCGCTGGGTCTTCGTAACGACGGATCCATCAATATGTTTACCTGCTGATCAAAATAGTAATGTGATTAATGTTAATAATAAAAAATGTGTGCGTGTACTAGGTGTACACACGTAAGAAGTGAAACTTCTTTATGACCTTATTTTTCGAAAAATGATCTACTATATGCAACTTAACCAAATTGGTTAAATAAAGTTTAACAAAAGGCTTTTATTATCATAGACAAGAATACAAATACAATTATTTCATTTTACCTTATTTTAATTGTAATAGAATTATTACTATTGTAGTGGTGTAATTATTGTCTTTATAGAAATTTCGCAATTGTATTTGTAATATTGTCTACGCATCATTATTTCGTAATTCCACTTGCACGTGGATAAATCAGTCGCCCTATAACCGCCATGTAAGTCAGAGGACAATAAAGCTAGTGAATTCTATTACGGTTTTCATTTAGTGTACCTCAAACACTAAACTATCATTGTTATCGTTATTAATTATTTTTGTTATTAATGGCTTCGAATCTCTTCGGATCAGCCGTGGTAGGGACAAGAAAAAGATGGCGCGTAACCGAAAAACGTGACGATTTGCTACAAAATTTCTCCCATACGTCGATAAAAAATTCATTCTAACGCCGATAAAGAAGTTTGACTTCAAAAAGCAACATGGCGCGTAACCGAAAAATGTGACGACAAACGAAAAAATGTTACACTAAATTTTTTTCCAACCCCGATAAAGAAGTTTCACTTTAATAATAATTAATGTGTTTGCGGACCGTACCTTCTACACAAATTGCACTGTTTTTGGACGCCATGTTGACGCACACATTCAAACGTTTTCGATTTCAACCTGAAAAAAGTATTTTCAGGGCATCTAAGGGCAAACTTTTTTCAGAAAAGTGTGTGCAATACAATTGCCCACGAAATGGTAATAACAACAGATAAGTACAATGGCAGAAACACGATTTTTTAACTACTCGTTAGTGTGCGTGTGTCGGCATTTTGTTAACGCACACATTTAAAAACAATGCCACAGTTTTTGGTTTCGGGGCCTATCTAACGATATAAATCTATGACCAAGGCTCTATAACGCTTAGTCATGGCCATAGACAACTAGTTGTGTTGTCTATTAGAAATTTCCTTTAAAAGTAACGCTCATTTATCAATAGAGCCTCGGCGTAGCTCAATCGATTTTCTATTTAAGCCCCATCCACACGCTTGACAAACAATGGCAAACAGCCAACAGCAAACACGGACGTGTGGATGGGTTTGTCGTTGTGTGCCTGTTTGTGTTTGTGTAGGGCAGTGTTCGGCATCGGTGTCGGTTTATCGTGCCAGATCAAAGGATGTTTGGCAAACAGTTTGCTACGTATCCACACGTTTGGCAGCGATCTAGGGATGTGACATTCTGCATAAAAAATCGATTTTTTTTAGCATGAAAAATCGATTTACAAATAATCGATTTTTTCCTAATTTTTAAATTAATTTCAAAATAATCACCCTAAATATTTTATTTCTCATGTTTTTTTTAATTGTAAATAAACAATAAAAATTATAAACACAAATTAACGTTTAAGAATAATCAAATTCGAAATTAAATTAAACTAGTTTTGATAGATTTTAGGTGAAATTTGATAAATGCTGAGTGTATGCCTTTTCAGAAGCACATTGCAGTATTTTTGTTGTCTTTTTTATTACATACGGTAACCTTGTGCTGCTAAATAAATTTATTTTACTTTTAAATTATAGTGTTCCATTCAAACTTTGAGTTTTTGTAAAATTCACTGGTTTTATCATCCTTTCGATGTTTTACAAAAAAACATCAATGCGTCGAGTATATCAATACATCTTCAAAGAATCGGATTCAATGTATCGCATTGTAAACATCGTTGCATATCGAATATCCCTAATACTTCGAGGTCCGGGTTATAAAAGACCAGACATAATGTCGGGAGGTGGCAGATAAAAAATCGACTATGATTGATTTTCAATTATAAAAATAATCGATTATTTTAAATATAAAAATCGCGTAGAAAAATCGTTTTTTTTTAATAATCGATTATTTTTTCACACATCCCTATTCCCTACAGCGATCAGTATGCGCGCGAGCTTGCGGGAGGCGGACGTATTTACTTGGTGGACACTTTTTCGTTGGCGCGCAAAATGTCTGATTGGTCAGCACCTACGATTCTGACATTTTTGGAGGCTTATCAAAATGAGCCATGTCTCTGGAATTCCAAAGATGCCGATCACAAAAATCGGCAAAAGGTTAATGATGCATGGACTCGCCTCAGCATTATAATGAATAAAAGTGTCAAGGAATTGAAGAACAAAAAAGAAATACTTATGGTTACGTTCCGCAGACATCTGAAGAAAAAAAAAGATTCTATTCGGTCCGGTGCAGGTAAGTTTGAATAATCAGTAAATATTTGTCTAAACACCCCTGCTATGTTCCTTGCGAACAAAATTTTATTTTTATTTTTTTTTTCAGGATTCGATGATGTTTATACACCGGTCTGGTTTGCTTATGACCTGATGGAGTCATTTTTAGGACCGTTATATAGCTGCTCAAATAACGTAAATTCAGAGGAAGTAAGTAAAACGACTTTTTTTTTTCATTATGGTATATATTATATATTCTTAATTAAATTTAAACTATCATATACAGGGTGGAAGAATAGCTATACACTATACAGTCTGTATCAAAAAGGTGCAGTAAAACTTTAAAAGGTTATTTTAATTTTAGAATGACCTCTTGGCACCTTTTTGTTACACCTGTGTGACCTTACTTATCCTTTCTATATTACTTACTACTTACTTATCCTACTACGTACTACTACTTACTTATCCTTTCTATATTACTAACTACTTACATTAAGGACCGATTTACATTATCTTAGTGTTTAGGAGAGTATTTTAGTACAACTTGAAAGGCAAGTTCTTTAGTGCTTTAGTGCGTTGCGAGTGAACGTTTACATTTCTTCCAGTAGAGTATCATTACAGCGCCACAATGAACGCGCAACGACAAATACGCTCTATTCTACGCAAAATACTAACTGTAGTTATGGAACAAGTAGAAGACGAGATTTTATTCGAAATAAATAAACAAAATATAAATTATAAATAAATAAGCTTCTTTTAAGGCAGTGTATGCCGAATGCCTAGCCTGTTTGTTTTTGTATAAATTGTTTCTAACGTTCCACAAATATTCGTGAACAACATATTCAGACACAAATTTGATAGTTGTATCTTCCGACCATTTAGCCATCTTTAAAAATCAAAAAACACGCACGCTTTTCACGGCACTTGTGCACGCTCCTAAAAATTTTACTTAATTACGTGTTTACACACAACGAGGGAAGATCTCGGGAGTTGCGCGGGCGCGGGAAGGGTATCACTTGAAACAAAAATAAAAAGCGATTCTATTCTGATTCAACTTGAAAGTCAAGTAGAACCGTACTAAAGCAAGTAGCGTTTACATGTTTCAACTAAAGTACTATCCTAAAGCACTCTGCTAAACACTAAGATAATGTAAATCGGCCCTTACTTATCCTACTACGTACTACTACTTACTTACCCTTTCTATATTAAGGGATAATGTTTAAATAATAATGTAGAATGCTAAGTTAATCTATTACAAAAATATAACGTAAATTCATCCCTTATCTGTTTGGCATGGATGGGTGACCTACGGGGTACGTTTGGCATATTCTGAATTGCATTATATTCCTCTTCGTATTTTCGCCAAGATCCACGTGTTATAATTTCACAATTTCTGTCAATCGTATCAAACGTTCCTGGGGGGGTATATCTCTCTGGGGATTTTTTCTAAGGAAGTTATGTAGTAGTACATAGGACATTGTTATTTCTGATACAGTAATAGGGTCTAAATCAATTGGATGACGGTAAATACGAAACACTGAAGTAAAAACTCCAAATGTGTTTTCTACTACTACCCGAGCTTATAAGCATTGATTGAATATTCTTTTTGGTGAACCGATGTTATGCTGTCATGCGGTTTCATTACATGCATGCTCAATGCAAAACCACCATCTCCTATGAAAACGTATGGAACGTTAACGTTTGATCCAGGAAGTGGGCATGGTATAGGAAAATCAATTTCATTTTTACAGATTTTTTTCCACAGTAATGAATTATTAAAAACGCCACCATCGCTAAACTTCCCTTGGCATCCTATGTCAACAAATATAAATTTGTAGTGGGTATCAACTAATGCCAATAGAACGATGCTAAATGTTTTCTTATAATTGAAATATTCGGTTCCGCTATATTTCGCTGGCATTTCGCTGGTATAGCTTCCCTGAAGTCCGCATCTTGTTTCGAAATCAGACGAGAAATTTTGTCTAGCAAATTCTCAAAATCTGTGAAACTCATGCGGCAGAAGTTATGAAACTCCCCTGATGGTTCGAAAAGAAGCTCATTTCTTCTATAAATTGAAATGAATAAAAACTTTTAAGTAAAATTAAAAAACACGGCAAATTAAAGCCCAAATAATAGGTCTAAAGCAGTACCTTGTACTATTTCTATGTATTTTAATCATCCACGATCGTCTTTGCTTTCTTCTTTTTTTCCTTTTTTCTTTCTCTTGCTTTAATTTATAATAAAAATATGTCAACCCGAAAGTAATAGCTGCCACAAGCTCGTCGTCCGCCATGTTTGCCGATTCGGAATGTTATGAACGTTCGCCAAGCATGTGGATGGCTGTTTGTGTTCGGTGATTGTGGTTGGTGTTTGGGACTACGTTTGCTGTTTGCGGTGTTTGTGACAAACAGCCAGCGTGTGGATGCCCCTTGGTCTAGTGGTTAGTACCCTGCGAATCCATGGGTCCCGGGTTCGATCCCCGGTTGAAACGAACATCGATGTAAAAAAAAACATAGATCACGAATAAGGAAATAAAATGTTATTTCTTGCCTTACAATTTCAGAACAAAGATGAAAACTATACAGAGGTGATCTATCTAGAAGACCCAATAGAGAGTCAAGAAGAGAGTTTTCTGAAGGAGGTTCAACCGAAGGGGCTAAAAAGACCTGTAAGACACCTGGTTCTTTACTAAAGTCATTGCAAATTCTTGTTATCATGTTTAAAGTTTGTGACCGGTTCTACTAAACCGATTTTGAAAATTCTTTTACCAATAGAAAGCCAAGTTATTTATGGAGGTATATCTAAAAGTCTTCATGACTATAATATCCATAAAAAAAAAATTTCAACTACCCTCAATAAATTATAATCTTGCAAACCTATTAAGCCCATACAAAATTCATAAAACCGAAATTAAATCGACTTCAAATATCTTACTGCATACCTACATTATGTAACCACTAAAATTTTGTGAATACCCACATCTTAAAAACTACCGAACCGATGACGTTGACGTTGAGTTCCTGATTTCTGGGCACACATACACACACTTCAAATTCAAATTCAAAAAATCATTTATTCACGTAGGTAACACAATGTACACTTGTGATACGTCATTAAAGAAATACATATTAATGCTTCTAATTTTACATTTACTGCCAGTTCTCAAATCAAGGGCGTAGAACGGAAGAGAAGAACTGGCAATAAACTTACCGCCACTCTTTTTAATCGCCATGGTTTTTTTTTTAGCACTGGTTGGAATATATTATCTAACCAACAGTAGTAAAACAAAAATATTTATTTTTGAGCTTTTCTTACGGCAATTTTAGCCACGCACCACCACTATGTGGAAACAGCCGCCCACTGAAGTATTTCCGTACCAATTCGACTTAGGCTCCTTCAAGAAAAGAGCGTACCAATTCTTAATGGGCCGGCGACGCACTCGCCCTCTGGCATTGAGTGTCCGTGGGCAGCGGTATCACTTATCATTTGGTGATCCTCCTGCCCGTTTGCCCCCTGTCCTATATATAAAAGGGCCGGCAACGCACTTGCGATCCCTCTGCCATTGAGTGTCCGGGGGCAGCTATATCACTTATCATTTGGTGATCCTCCTGCCCGTTTGCCCCCTGTTCTATATATAAAAGGGCCGCCAACGCACTCGCGAGCCCTCTGACATTGAAAGTGATCATGGGCCATATCACTTAATATTAGGTTTAGAAACAATTTATTCAATACTAGCGACCCGTCCCGGCTTCGCACGGGTGCAATGCTGATACTAAATTCATTTAAATGATATCCTGTAAAGGGCCATATTATAGATTAAATTAAATCGAATATGTATTTAAGGTATTTAATTGGATAAGGATTATAAAATCCATAAGAGATAGATACCATCGCGGAGTTTTCTGTAGACCTTTTCAATGTGTGCAATACTTAGTACATTATTTTAATAAATCTCGTAGGCGACATCACATTAGAAATGTCAAAAATAACAGTATTTCTCCACGATTTAATGGATGTTATTATGCATATTAACCTTCCTCTTCAATCACTCTATCTATTAAAAAAACGCATCAAAATCCGTTGCGTAGTTTTAAAGATTTAAGCATACATAGGGGTATAGGGACAGAGAAAGCGACTTTGTTTTATACTATGTTGTGATTATTACAGAGAAACGAGGCATCTGAAGGAGAAATCAGCGATTTTGGATTATACATAACAAGTTTATTGAGAGATCTACCGAGTAATGTGTGTGCACAGCTGCAATTAAATATAGTTGATTTAATAGTAAAAGCGAAACTAGAAGAAACCGGACCAGATATTAGTATGGAGGTAGATCGTGGAAAAGATCCGATGGAAAATGAGGTAAGTGATTAGGTATTTCTAATTATTTATTAGTGACTAGAGAACCTATGCCAAAACGCTTCTCTAAGTGTCTATGACGTAGCATGCTTGTAAACAAATGTTACGTGTCAATTGTCACTTTTAAATTACACATGTTATTGTTCGAACAAAAACTGACGTAATTGAACTCCGAGATTATATTAGGTACGTTATCGTTTTGTGTTACATGACAGAAGTGTAAATTTTATATATAATATCGAAATATAAAAATAATACTATGTTTATTTCATAAATTCAACGTTTGTATTATTACGGTATTATTAGTATCCATATTATTTTTTAACAATAATTCATATATAACAGCGTATGAATAGCGCGCCTTTTAGCGATAAAAAGTAATAAAAACTCCATGGTACCAATTTCGCACGAAATACAAAATCAAAAATAATTACAAAATCTTTTAAAGTATTTGAGTAGCATGTGGCAGGAAATTATTATAGTGTTCAGTAATAATAAACACAATATATTAATAATTATTTCATAAAAGATTAAAGTACTTTCTGTCTCTTCATCACACCGTAAACAGAATTTGATAGAAAGAGACGAACAATTTTTGAAGTGAAACTTCTTTATCGGCGTTGGAAAAAAAATTACGTCACGTGACGTCGTCACCTTTTTCCGTTACGCGCCATCTTTTTCTTGTCCGGCGATTTCGGATCCAAATTTATTGATTAGTTGCAAGATTTGTTGTTTGTGAAGTTTGCCTATCTCTGAAAACTAACTTCAGGCTTACCGCAAAGTACCTACTGTTATTTATATTGGATAATTTTTGCAGTATTAATTTAGTTATAAATAGAAATTATGCTTTAAAATCATTATAATTTATGTAAAAAACCGTGTAGTGCGTTCATAAAATTTGTAAAATTTATATTAATAACAAAAATATATAATAACGATAGCAATGATAGTAATAATCTATTACAATTAATGAAATTCTGTAATAATCTTAGTAGTAATAAGGTAAAATTAAATAATTGTATTTGTATTCATGTATATATGTATAAAAGCTTATTTAACCAATTTCTGTAAAGTTGCATATAGTAGATCATTTTTCGAAAAAAGGTCATAAAGAGGTTTCACTTCTTAAGTGTGTACACTAGTACACGCACACATTTTTTTTTAAGGGAATAAATCCAACGTATTATTGAAATTATATCTATAAGAGTACGATAGTCGTGATCACTAATGCATATCTAAATTATATCCTTTTTTTCCAGAACCAACAAAACACCAACACAACCTACCAACCAGAAAACTTAGAAATATCAACGGAAAGCCAAAAAGAAAGGGATAAAAACCCTAACACAACTCCAAAAAAACGGACGAAGCTAAAAAATGACGCAGCACACGAGAATATAATTGAAAATTTCGGAAAATATGTCGTATGCTTGTTAAAAACTTTCCCGCGAACAGATACCAATACGAAACTTCAGAAGGACATTGTTGATCTCATAATGACAGCTCGGCTACAGACTATGAAAAATAGATTGACAGATAGCACCATAGATAAATTAGGAATCCGACGGGATTTATTTGTAGAAATAAAATAGCGTTCTATATTCAAATTGTTTTATTTATTGCTTGCTCTGTGTTCGAAAAAAATTTGTACGAAACTTCAAAGGCTCAGGTAAAATGTCCACATATAAACTATATTGTCCTTACAAAAATCACATAAAACATATAATAAGATACCAAAAAATTTGCCAATATTTTGTTTATCTTAAAAATCTAATAAATAATATCGTTAAAGTTTGTCATAAATTTTTCATGCTTGACACTGGTTAAAAATTAAAAATGGAAAAGATGTCTTAGTTAGATCCTCGTGCCGTCAATTTGCAGATTTTTGCATTTTACAATAATTCATTGTCATTATTTTTTTGTACTTAAAGCTGAATACATTTCAGCTTCAGAAGAAAAGCAGAGTCAGTAGAAAATTGCGATTAATGTTAAGAATTTAAATAAATAAATGTTTTTTTTTTGTTTACATTTGGCGTAAGCAAACCACGAACAAAGTTTTATTAATTTTAAATTATTTAATTGCTAAAATGTAAAAGAATTATTACACCGTAATATCACACCCAATCATTACTCGTAAAGTAAAACGAAATCATTTCTTGTATGAACCACGATGAAAAAGAACTATAGGTTAGAGTGAGATAGAAAATGACAGAGTTGTATAACATCACCTAGTTCTCAGCCGCGTTGCGAACAAAAACGATCGCCTCCGCATTACTTATTACTCGAAAACCTTAAACATGGCAACTAGACGTAAGTACAGCCCGCTTTGGACGCATTTTGAAGACACTGGAAACAAGAGGGCCAAATGTAATTACTGTTCTCGCGAAATAGCAGTATCTAAGAGTTCTATAGGCAGCCTGGGGCGTCATCTGAAGACCGTTCATCCTACCGTTAATGTCAAAAATGTCATGGAAGACACGCAAGAAGGTAATGGTATAAGGTTTGTTAGTTACTAAAACTCGCCTATATATAATTTTTAATTACTTATATAGACAACAGACAATAATATAACCTGACTATATTATAATAGTAACATTACCCTAAAATATTTTTATCACGATAATCGCGCACTGTTTTGCGCATCTCTTAAATGTTAAAATCAATATATTCCGCATTTCTGTAGCATACCGATTATCTGTGTGACCAACTGATTTAACAGTAGAAGCTCGGTTATAACTGTCAATTTGACAGTGACATTTGTAAAATTCAACAGGCTCCCCAGCCTCTCTTATTTTGCGGTGTTGATATTTAAAGTTTGTTATACTTAAAAGAATGCCAAATCAGTCTGATTCTGAAAATGATACTCCGAGTAAAAAATCTAAGAAATACCTACAAAAATATAAGCCTGAGTGGGAACGAGAACCCGATTTTCTAGGGTGGATAGGAAGATGTCAGAATCCATATGAAGCTAAGTGTAAAGTGTGCAATAAAGTAATTAATATTGCGTCCGGCAAAGAATCTTTACGTCGACACGCAACAGCTGAAAAACATAAGAGAAATTTATCGAAAGGCTACAATGAGTTACATACGCTGGAAGGTTAGTGTCAAAAAAAATCATCTACCGCGATTTTACAGATTTATATATTTTGATACATCTTTACTGTAGTTATCGCCCACTCACTATTTTATTTTTTCTTACTAACCTAAATTAGAATGTCAATCACTATTTTCCGTTGCACGAGAATTTAATTCGATCCTTGCCCGTTAGGTGGTCATAAGTCGTGTTATATTTGTACTTAAAAAGTTACTACATTGCTATTACAATACTTAAATAAACTTGATATTACGTAAACTATTTACTAGTTACTAAACAATCAGTGTAAAAACATTACTGTCATTGCTAAAAGATTTTAATATTTAGGGACTGACAATATGCATTCATTAAAAATAAAGAAACTAAACTTTATTGTCATACCTATTGTAAATAACAGATTCAACTAAACAATGAAAACACAAAAATGTTAATGTGGTAAATATCACACAGAAACAATAGGTTATCAAATTAAATTGTTGAAGAAATGACAAGGCTAATTGCATACCTGCATACTCAAGTTTCAGTGTCCTGTTTTCAGCCAGTACTTATTCTGTTCTAGTTAAATAAATAAATATTGGTTTATTCATTTTAAGTACATATGCATTACAATGTGTAAGATTTCTTCTAAGTAAGAAATACCTGTGTTAGGGTTCCCAATATAATATAATTTAAAATTGCATTTTTTAAACTAGTACTTGACATATTGCAATAAATGCCTAATTCAAAAATGTATACAATATTTACAGATACATTGATAACAAAATTATAATTTCATTACTGTAGAAGAGAACAGAATACTTCAAAAGTTGTATAATTTTGATTGTTTAACTAAAAAGTTTAGCGTTTGACTTTAAAGTAAATAAAGAATTTGAAGACTAGTAGAACTACTTCGAGTATGAAGCTTAGATACTACTTGATTAGATATAATATATTGTTTTGGACTGTAGGTTTTTTGAATTATTGCTAACTATAAAGGACCAGAATCAAAGAGATATTGATATGACACAAGGATCTTTACACCAGTATTTAATACATAGACAATACTTTATTCATAAACACACTAAGCATCCTTATTACTCTTACCTCTGTTAGGGGAGACAAAATATTATGGTTGTTCTTTATTAGATAGAGTAGCAAACATGAGAAAAAACTATTTCCATGAAGCCTTCACTCCTGACGTCACATAATAGTATCTAAATACAGTCTGCTTTTATATATTTATGTTAATAAGATTTCAGATACTTAAATTATTATTACTATTAAATTTCTACTTCTCTTATTAATTCTATTAACATTATTGTAAATAATAATTACTCCATAGTTAAATAAAATTTTAAAAAATATACATCATTTAATAGTCCTAAATTATTAAAATTCTACCCACAATTAAGACAATTAAGTAGTGTTCTGTATATACAAAGTACACTTTTATCGGTGATAAAATATAAAGATAACCAAATTACCAATATGTACAAAGTCACTGCACAGGAGAGACGTTCACGGAATACCCCATCTTATGTCATTGATACAGTTTTTCTTATTTGAAGAGGAAAATCATAGAGTAATGAATTTATTGTGTGACGTTACTCACTGGCGCGAATGCTATACCTGCCCTTCTGAGGCATTTCTTGATAAACACATTTCGTATTTTATTAAACCGAATAAGTGATCTATGCCCTAATAACTTGAGACAATTTCGCCGAGAGCAGAATTCAGGAATACCGCGTTAATAATTTGCTAAGTCACGCTGAGCCATCATCTTATTGCACTAAACAAATTATTTTTACACTAATTTTATAAGAAATTGATACTTTACCTCAAAATGTTTACGTTGTCCATTTTTTTTTATACAACAGGGGGCAAACTGGCAGTAGGCTCACCTGATGGTAAGTGATACCGCCGCCCATAAACACTCAATGGCAGAGGGCTCGCGAGTGCGTTGCCGGCCTTTTAAGAATTGGTAGGCTCTTTTCTTGAAGGACTCTTAGTCGATTTGGTTCGGAAATACTTCAGTGAGCAGCTGAAGTATTTAGTATCATCGCTTATTATTTTTAATCAATGTTATGGAGAGTATTTAAGAGGCGTATAGTTGTCAACAAGTCACATGTCCCTACACCTATATTCCAACAATTAGGCCTACAACCTGACTACACGTGTGTCACACGACACACACATTCACATCTAATATATAAAATTCTCGTGTCACAATTTTCGTACCCATACTCCTCCGAAACGGCTCGACCGATTCTTATAAAAAAAAATTATGCATATTCTGTAAGTCTGTTAAGTGGTTATTTTTTTGATAATTTTATTTTTATTATGTGGCTTTAAAAAATACATAAACCCTTAATTTACACCCCTCTACGATCAACTCCTATTTTATATTTGTTAATTAAAAGTTATTGATTGAACTTGAAGTTTAGATAGATAAATTCACAGGAAAACCTAAGTTTTCATTCTCTGGGATAGCATAGCAAAATGTTCCATGTTGGTATGTACTAAAAAGGTTGGCTAAGTAAAATCACATTAAGGAGAAACGAAATTCGCGGGGGCAGCTAGTAACATAATATGATTAAAGTTACTTAATAAAGAATTTGTTAAATTACATTAAAATTAGTAATGTACTTTTGCAATATTTTTGTTTAATTTTCGCAACTTTCTACGGTTTCCTATTGTGTAAAAACTCAGAAAACACGTGAACGGTTTGCTCAACACTTTTCGAACAATCTATAGTTCTAACATAGCTTGGTGAAAACTTTTAGTATTAGTTCGGTATATTGCCAGAATAATCTGGTTAATATTCTACGAATGCATATTTTCATAACCTAACCAAACGTAAACGGTTGCCCAAGAATTGAAAGTCAACAAAACGTGTATATGACAAGCGCGGTCCGGCAACGTCGCACATTTTGTGATAAACAACATGACCTACATGACCTCGACTTCCCGCATGTTTACTGTTTGAAAATGTTTAGGAACCCATCGTTAGTTTAATGTTATAGTTTTTAATGCAAGAGTCACTTGAAAATACCCAAATCGTGTATATAAAATTTCCCAATCAATACCATACATCAGATGGAATAAGAAATAAAAATGTGTAAAAATGCTTGTTACACATTTTTTTCAAGTAGCACATGGGGCGGTCGTGTTTTAAACACGTTTTGCTGAATTGTAACGGTCTCACAATAGCAATCAATTGATTCTGTCCCGTTTGCTTATTATAAGTTATCCAAGAGCGATAGGGACAAAACATACGATAAATGTGTCGTCAATTACGGTTTTATTTAATTATCCAGTAGCCAGTGACGATACGCAGTTATTTTAGACCTTTTTTCCTGTTAAAAGTCAACCTAACTCCAAACCTAAATCTTTCATACAAGCGTCGGCTGATAAAAATATAGGCATCTCCTGGAAAAGGCGTGCCCACATACCTACGCCACATCTCACTTAATATCAGGGGGGATATTCATCAGTTCAATTATATAAAAAAAAAAAAATTGTGCGTGTACTAGGTGTACACACGTAAGAAGTGAAACTTCTTTATGATCTTATTTTTCGAAAAATGATCTACCGTTAAACGGGGTGAATAGAACTCACGGGGGGAATAGAGAAAAAACTTGGCATCATTTTAAACCTTAATTCATATAACTGAGTGATACCAGTATACAAAACCGTATCTTTAGTCATTTGGTAGTTTTATTTTCCTTGGTCTGGCAACATTTTATTTATGGCAACTTCGCTAAAAACGTCAAAACTAAATTTCAAAGTTGACCAAAAAAAAAGTCGTTAAAGTGCAAGTGAGTTTGAACTTTCGTAATTTAGAGAATTTTGGCGATAGAAGTCAATAAATATCTTCTAATTACAGTCAGTGTTATCATAAATATATTCTGCTGTAATTGTTGAGGTAAGAATATACATTATTATAATTAATTAGACTTATTTTGTAAGTCTAGTTTACTTTAATTTTTTGAGGTCAAAAGACACGCGAAGGGGGTGAATAGACACACCTGAGGGTTTAATGAGCACGCGAATATGGTTAATAGATGCAGCAAAGGGGTAAATAGTTACGAAAGAAGGGTGATTAGATATGATAAAATCAGGGCTGCCAAAAAGGATAAAGGACTATTTGGTAGTGTTTATCTCCGGTTCAACTTCCACTTTTAGTGTCATACCTACTTGAAGCTTTTAATTTTGTTTAAATTTGGAATTTTGAGGTTCTTAATAAGTGTACTTGAGATACAATCATAGCTAAGTAATTTATCTAGGTTGAACGATACTGCTGTACCGCGGTCTAGGTATGGCCGCGGCGTAGTATCTGAAATACATTAATGAGTTTCATTTGTTTGTTTTTTCCTTACATAAACAAAATTCAGGGAAACTGCGAAGGCGCAGCCCTACGAAATTTTTCTAATCACCCCTCGTGTGTGTCTATTGTCCCCTGATGGGAGGAAAATAGAAATCACGTATATTTTGTGTTTTTTTTCAGAAACTACATACTTATCCTAATGGAAACGAATATATTTCAAAAGTTTAGTTTAGGACTCAATAAATGCGTAATTAAAAAAATGGCTTTCAATTTCGCAACATTACAAAAATCGGTACCAAAGTTCGAAAGCCCATCTATTCACCCCGTTTGACGGTACTATATGCAACTTTACAGAAATTCGTTAAATTAGATCAAGTTTAACAAAAGGCTTTTATTATCATAGACATGAATACAAATATTTCATTTTACCTTATTACTACGAATATTATTATAGAATTTCATTAATTGTAATAGAATTATTACTATCATTGAAAAACTTGACGATTTGCTACAAAATTTCTCCCATACGTCGATAAAGAAGTTTGACTTCAAAAAGCAATATGGCGCGTAACCGAAAAATGTGACGCGTAACGAAAAAATGTTACACTAAATTTTTTTCCAACATCGATAAAGAAGTGACACTTCAAATACACAATTCACATATCAAAAACTACAGAAACTTGGATTAGATACTTTCCAATTCCATTCACATACAGACATAAGTTTTTTTTCGTTATAAAATAATTTAAACCTCAAAAGTGAGAATCATTGATTCATTCAAAATAGGATAAATAAAATTAGTTTATTTTGTCGGATTAACTTTTTAGTAAATGTATTTAAAAGTGAAAGTTATTTTAACTACTTTCGATATCAAGCCCTTAAAACATTTTTAATCTGCACACAGAGTCGGTCATTAAAACTTAACGGTTACTTGGGTTAGTGAAAATTTCAATAGCACAATGCAGTAAAGCGTGACTTTCAAACCTGAGGTCATCTGTTCAAACACTGGCTGTGCACCATTTATCTATTCTTATAAGAAAACATCGAATATTATCAAATAAACGGTAAACCGGTATATATGAGGTACCAAGGCTCTATAACGCTTAGTCATGGCCATAGACAACTAGTTGTGTTGTCTATTAGAAATGTCCTTTAAAAGTAACGCTCATTTATCAATAGAGCCTCGGCGTAGCTCAATCGATTTTCTATTTATAGGACAAATTTAACGGGCAAATCGTGTTGTCCCTCTCGCACAAGCAAGAACATTTCGGTCTCATTTCACTCTTCATATGCATCTAATATTCTCCCTTATAAAAGCTAAACTAGTGTCTCTTTCTGTCAAATTGTGTTTAGGCTGTGATGAAAAGAGACGACGCTAGTCAAGGCCTTGAAATTGACTGATTCTGTTTTCATTAAGAGAAATTGGATGTCGCACTGTGATTTCGTAATAATAAGGGTATGAAATGTTTTCAAGCCAGCAAATACTAAACAGAGAGAGTCTAGAAGCTAATTACTATTAGAGTAATATTCGGAAACAGACTTTAAGCGCAAAGTCGACTTCCCCGTACGCCAAAAATCTATTGGATTTTGACATACGTTTAGTTTTCGTGATGATATAAATTGTATTGTCAAAATATTGAAACAATTTGCTAATTATAATATAATCATATTATATGATCGGAAATTTCAGATATTATGAAAGTCTATTTCATACCTAGTTAACAAGCATCGGTGGTTCAGTGGTAGAATGCTCGCCTGCCACGCGGGCGGCCCGGGTTCGATTCCCGGCCGATGCATTCTTTTTAATTTATTTTTAGTCATAGTCAAATAATAACAATATTCTATTGTTATTTATAATGCATTATATTAGGTTTAAAACAATTTTTAATAAATAAAATTACGTATGCTGCGTAAATTAATAAACGTTATAAATGTGAATTTTAATTTATTATTTGAAATTTATCTCACAAGAGTTATCTGTTGTCGTTGTATTGTTTTATTAATTATACATATCGAAAAAACATGTTGTCTCATTCCAACTCATGCATTTAGTCCCTTAATAAAAACTAAATCGAAATTGCACTCTTTAAACAGAAGCACTTGCGTCTCCTTCTGTTATAGCTGTTAACGCGATGTGATAAAAAGAGACAGATGTACTTTAATTGCCACGGTGCTATTAATGATTTTTATGAATGAATGAATTTTTGGCCTCATTTCGACAAATAACTGCAACAGTTGTACGGGCTCATTTTGTTTCAAATATGCTTTAAGTAGATTGATTATTGATACCTGACGAAAAAAATATATTTAAGTTTAATTTAATATGAAAAAGATATATCTATTATTTCAACTCACAAATATAAATACACAGAATATAATAATAATTTATTATGTGTTTTTGGCTTAAAATAACAATGTTTCGCAGTAATTTCTGATTTATTTTAGAATTTATGGGTTCTAATGTATATTTCTAATTATTCAGATTATATCGTAATCTCGTTGTAACAGATCATTAATTACTCCAAAAGGATAATTACTTTTAATTATCTGTTTGACCTTGTTATAATGAGATAATATTTTAGACGAATTTAGATATGTGTATGTTTGTCCACAAATTTCTCTAAAACTAATAATAATATATGATATTGTTATATCTAATACGTTTCAATATAAAGAACGATTTTCATCAAAATAGCTTCATCAGTTTTGGGATATCCACGCATTTTTAGACATATTAAAATTACTTTTTTGCCATCACAGCTACCTCTGACTCCGACGACTCCACCACCCTGGACCCTGACAGTGAGCTGTGGGGATTCTACGACAAGGAGCCAAGGAATCGAGCCAAATGCTCCATGTGTGGAGTTATCATAAACAGACATCCAGATACCCTGTACCAACATTTAAAGGAGGAACATTCGAAAGTATCAAAGGTATTATTTTTATATAGAACAGGGGGCAAACCGGCCGGAGGCTCTGATGTTAAGTGCCGCTCATGGACACTCAATGCCAGAGTGGTCGCGAGTGCGTTGCTGGCCTTTTTTTATAGAACAGGGGGCAAACGGGCCGGAGGCTCTGATGTTAAGTGTCGCTCATGGACACTCAATGCCAGAGTGGTCGCGAGTGCGTTGCCGGCCTTTTTTTATAGAACAGGGGGCAAACGGGCCGGAGGCTCTGATGTTAAGTGCCGCTCATGGACACTCAATGCCAGAGTGGTCGCGAGTGCGTTGCCGGCCTTTTTTTATAGAACAGAGGGCAAACGGGCCGGAGGCTCTGATGTTAAGTGCCGCTCATGGACACTCAATGCCAAAGTGGTCGCGAGTGCGTTGCCGGCCTTTTTTTTATAGAACAGGCAAACGTGTATAGCAGGCCCACCTGTTGTAAAGTAAAACATTCTCGATGCCAGAGGGCTCGGGAGAGTCGGAAGTGCGCCGCCGGCCTTTTAAGAATTGATAAAAAACTCTATTGAGACTAGTTTGTTGCTTTCATAGACTACAGATATTTTTTGTTCGCAGACGTTAGAATTCAACGATCGTGATGAGAATTATACAGAAATCATTTACTTAGAGAACCCTCCGAACGAAAAAGAGCGGCCGGTGAAGCGAAAACGGAGAGAGAAGAAGGATCAATACGACGATTTGGAAGACTTCGGGAAATATGTTGTTGGTCTGTTGAAGGGAATACCGGAAGAGCAATGCACGGAACTGCAGATGTCAATTGTCAATTTGATTATGACAGCTAAGAAGAGCGTAAAGGACGATGATATATTGGAGAGGGAAGAAAGTATTGAACAGGTTGGTTTTTGAAGTTATAATTCTTTAGGCGTGTTATAAAAAATTTATGAGAGTGAAATTTTACGATGCGCGCGCACCATGACACAAAATTAACAGAATGAAGTTAGTGGCGCATGTTGGCACGCACGCCGCCTCTGTTCACTGTGTATTTTTTTTTTTTTGAGTTTCTACATTTAAAACACGTGTTTTCATTATACAAGTGCGATTTTTATATGTGCGTCTGAATTATAATCAGAAGTGATTTAAATTGAATTATTAGAAATTAATAATAAATATAATATTAATAAGTATTTATTTATTTAATTTTTCAAATGTAAACTGAACTTTATTGACTATAATGACTCCTTTTCCAGTCTTTGATTATTTAATCGTATTTAATTATTTGCATGCAATCAAAACTATTTTTAATAATGCCAAAGAAGTATAACTTCTTACGCGTGTACATAATTACACGCACCTTTTTTTTTAAATTCATTTTCACTACTTTAGTCTTTCTAAAATTCTTATGTATCCTATATACATAATAAAACATACATAATTTTTTAATGAACGGCGGTCCACGCCTAAATTTATTATTTATTTTTGAGACAAAATGTTTTTTTCTGATACAGCATACAAAAATACCCTTAAATTTCCCTCTACGATCAACCCCTATTTTTTATTTGTAAATTAAAAACTTATGACTCGAACTCTGAGGTTTATATAGAGAAAAATACACAGAAAAACCTAAAAAGTTGTCATTCCGGAAAACCGTACAGTCTGGCGTAGCATAGCAAAATGTTCCAAATGTTGGTATGTATTCAAAAGTTAGGCAAAGTAAAATCACATAAACTTTAATAAAAACTTATTGAATTTTGAAGGAATTTTAAGTTTAATTTAAATACACCACTGTTTTTTGTACTGCTATTTTATAATTATTTAAATATCCATCTTCCAATAGCTAACGCAAACACAAATTCGACATTTCTCTTCATTATCTGTAGCCCTGACGTCAAAGCCAATTTTCGAAGCACCATATCGTAGTACAACACTACTAAAATTAGGACTGCGTGAATTGTAATAAATCTGAAAAAAATAAACATAAAAAAAAATATTTTAAAGGTACCAGAGCCCACGAAACCGGAAACGGAAGACCCCATAACCCACGAACAGAAAGAAACAAAGGACACACGCGAAAAACCAAGGAAACGCTACAACGAACTCGGCTCAACAGATAACGATGACCATATCACGAATTTCGGCAAATACCTCACCAGTCTGATGAAATTGTTGAACAAGGAAACCAGCGCTGAAGTCCAGTTGAATATTGTCAATCTAATAATCGGTACCAAGTTGCAATGTCTGCGAAAAACTAAAAATAAATTCATGGAAATACAAACAAAATTATTGCTTGCTGAATCGTAATAAACATATTGTTTTACAAGAAATAAATATTTTGTTATATCTTTACCTGTTTGATTCTATTTTGGCTCATAGTATTGTCTTTTATTAACATAACTTTTACACATTTAAAGAAAACCACTTTTTTACCGGATGTATTATTATAAACTTATAATTAAACGTCGGAATTTTTTTTAATTATATAAAATAATTATAAGTTTATAATAACTTCAATCCGGTAAAAAAAGTGTTTTCTATTTTGGCTCTCAAACATCACACGTTAAAATGAAGACATAATAACAGATACGTTTCATTTAAACACATTTCTATTTCAATCTGTGATATATGTGTGCCCTTTTTTGGCATAGCCTCCTCAAAATTCCGCCGCTGGAGGCCCCAAATTATTTCCCAAATAAAATGAAAATTTTTAAGTCGAGTTTTAAATCAATAATTTGTTGTGAAACCAAATAGATTCTTTTAGTATTTAATAAACATAAAAACATCGAAAGAAAAGTTATTTGCTAGAGTCTGGCTAATGAAAGAAGATAATTGAATTATTTGAAAACTTTCTGATGGCAACACAGAATGTCATTGAATTTCTTAGGATAGTATGATTTATTGTCTTGATACTTCATGCAATTACTCATTTTTTTTCTATTATTTATTTTTTCCGAATAGTTAACAGGTATAATAGCCTAAACTTTGTTTTATTTGATAGAATATTTCGTTTCTTTCGCAGGTTTAGATTATTCCGAATAAAGTTATGTTTTATAATAAATATAGTTTTAGTTTTCCATGCAATGCTAGTCATTTTAAGTATCAATAGTAAAATACTAAATACGTATAGTATTTAATATCATAGAAATACAATTACAGTCAAAACCGTTTATAACGACATCGTTTACAACGACCTATCGGTTATTACAACCAGATTGTATGGTCCCGTCCGAATCCCTAGTAAACTGTTCAGTAAAGAAACCGCTTATAACAACATCGGATACAGCGACATATCGCTTACAACGACGAAAGTTTATCGATATTCATCGGATATAACGACCAACCGCTTCTTGTCTCAGTAAAACAAAACAATACAAACGGTTTTAAATTTTATTTATTAGCATTGAATGAATATTTAGGCATATTATTACCTACGCACTTTCTCCCAACGAACAGTTTCAGCCAACAACGATTTCCGAGGCTCTTAACGCTGTAACGATTTTGCAAAAATTTGTTGCCTTTAACGAACAGTTTGATACTGGTGATACTCATACCTTGAAGAGTATGAAACGTAAAATGCAAAAAATATTTGAGACTGGGCTAAAAAAAACAGACTGACTGATTACTTTTGTACCTAATTATTTCGTAATAAATATTTTTGTTTCTTTTTTGACTCGTTTACATATAATAATATTAACATACCATATTACAACCCATACCTACCTATTCTAGATCGATAACTATGTACATACATATGTACTGTACTTGTGTATATGACATTGCTTATAACGACTATCGGATATAACGTCGGCAACTATACGGTCCCTTCAATGTCGTTATAACCGGTTTTGACTGTACTATCAATGTAAAAAATAATAAAATAAAATCAAGTATCAAAGAAATTTAATCCACAAAATATATCTATATATTATATACTTTTAGGGATACCATACTATTTTTTTTTTAATTTGCCGCGCTTTTTCGTTATCTTCTTTCATTAGTCAGACTCTAGTGTTTACTAGTCGGAATTTTCTATTTCGGGGCCACTCTTTTGTGGAGGCCCCGGGGCTCTAGCCCCGCTTGCTTTGAACATCAGTGTGAAATTATAGTTTTTTAATAAATATAAAATAAACCAGTGGCGCTACAACCTCTTTTGGTCTTGGCCTCAGATTTCTGAATCTATTTCATGATCATTTTTAAATCTAATAGGCAAGTAGGTGATCAGCCTCCAGTGCCTGACACACGCCGTTGACATTTTGGGTCTAAGACATGTCGGTCTTCTCACGATGTTTTCCTTCACCGTTCGAGCAAATATTAAATGCGCACATGGAAAGAAAGACCATTGGTGCACAGCCGGGGATCGAACCTACGACCTCAGGGATGAGAGTCGCACGCTGAAGCCACTAGGCCAACACTTCTCTTTTTTCGTAACTATCTAAACTAATCGGTTTTTAATAACTATGCAAAAACTTTGTTTGAGCCTTAAGGAGCGTTCAAGTATTACGTCACGCATTTTTTGAAGATTATTGACCCCCCCATGTAACACGCCGTAACGTTTTTCTGTACCCCAGTATAGTAAACCACCTAGTGACTCTTTATACCTAAAAGTTACCATTATGTGGTGAAAAGTACTGGAAAGTCGAAAATAATATTAACAATAACGCGTAATTCAATCCCCGCCACGTATCGTTTTACGAAAGGACCCCCCCAAAATTCGTTACGTCCCTTACGATGTCTAACTATAGATTTAGAAATTACTAATCAAAACCTTAGTATTTGTTAAGATACCTATACAATGTGTGAACATTTTAAAATTGATACCTTAGACTCTAATACGATTTAATTCATGACATCTCAAAAAAATGAATTGCACCCCACTTCTAGAAAAATTGCCCTTCCTTGTGCCAATCAGACTCGCATTTTTATTACACGTTCCACACATCAAACACAAACTAGGCAAAAAAAACAGTTTAGTATCGCGCCGCCCGGACATACAACGACCAATATTTAAGCCGAACGTACACCGCCGGCTAAACTAAGTTAGTTTAGCTTAGCTCGCATAGTTGAGCCAGTATTTCATACATGTGCGTCCACCGCAAACTATGCCAGTTAAGCTACGTGAAATGCCCAAGCTAAGTGAACTAACTTAGTTGTGCAGCCGATCCGTAACTAAGCTAAACTAAGCGCCTCTCACCCCTTTGCCTTACCCCTCTGACGCCTGACGACAGTGTTGTAAGTTGTAACAGTAACCGCAAACTATGCCAGCTAAGCTACGTGAAATGCCCCAGCTAAGTGGAACTAACTTAGTTGTGCAGCCGATCCGTAACTCAGCTAAACTAAGCGCCTCTCACCCCCTTGCCTTACCCCTCTGACGCCTGACGACAGTGTTGTGACAGTAACCGCAAACTATGCCAGCTAAGCTACGTGAAATGCCCCAGCTAAGTGGAACTTGAACTTTTGCTTTTGGCTGTGTAGGTACAATTGAATACCACTGCGGAAACATTGCTAGTGTTTCCTGTTTATAGTAAGATTCAAATTATTTTATTGCGAAACCGGTTCACCAAGAAACGTATCGCAAACGTTATGAGGAAATCCCAGATTACGCAGTATTTAAAGTCTGACGCAAATAAAATGAGGCACTATTTTTCGAAGCCTTCGGCTAGAATTCTCAACGAGACGGAAATATTAACTTAGAGAAAGCAAAATATAAATTCCCTGTATATAATTGCACTCCTTACTGAGAGTGTTCCGAGCAACCCTGGGATTCCGCCGATGCGAAAACCGCTGTGTGAGTTCGAAAAGTGAGTTACAGAATCGCAGGGCAGTTATTCGGATTAATACCTAAAGCTGAGTTTCATCATCAACGTCGAGGCAGAATACGAAATTCCAACTGAGAGTGCCATTTCTTAAATGACCATCTACGCACTTGCCAATGTCTATAGGCGGTGATATCACTTAACCTGCCCGTTTGTTATTAAAAAAGCACATTGTTATCATTGCTTTTCACCTATTTCACCATGCCTCCTGCTGATAGAGGACAAATCTTTGTTTTTAATTTATTTTATTATTATTAATTGCTTAGATGTAATGTGGAATGGTTGCAGCTCCTTACAAACGTTGTGTAAAACAAAAAACTTGGCGATTAAAGAGTGGCGGAGAGTTTATTGCCAGTTCTTCTCTTCCTTTCTACGCCCTTGATTTGAGAACTGGCAGTAAATGTAAAATTAGAAGCATTTAATCTATATTCATAAGTGTACACTGTGTTACCTATATGAATAAATGATCTTTGACTGCGACAGACATAATATACACTTTAATAATTGTTTTTACCAACTTTGAAGGTCGTCCGTCACAAATGCGTCACATATTGACGTATGGTCCAAGATCCCAGGGCCGCCAGACGTCACGTATTTTCTGACGGATGAAATGTGGACGATTGGGTAGTGTTAGTATGTACTATGATCGTATGCCTACCTGCTAGCTTGGTCAAACGGCCAATTTCCAGGTATCAGGTAATCAAGGTACACAAAAACATTACTTACTTCACGTAAATTCTCATGGCTGATTTTTATATATGTTTTCGAGTGTATAGTTAAAAATAAATTGTCAATACTCCCAGACACTTTCCGTCGGCCATATTGTTTGACAGACGCTTTAAGGGTCTCAAAATAATTAGTCAACTTCACGTAAATTCTGACGCTCCATTTTTATATATTTTTACTGTTAAGAAATATTGAAGAATTAATATTTTTCCACTTTGTTTCCAAATTTCCAATAAATAATTAATTTAAAAAATTGCTGCTATTTAAATATAAGTGGTATTTTTAAAAAAATTTTTTTAGTTCTAATTAATAAATTGAAAAAAAAAAATTAAAAATGTCGGCTAACTTTAGTATTATTTATTATATGTCAATTTTTTTTCTTATTTTTGTTGCTATAATTTACTTGTCAACAAAAGTTCTAAAAATTATAAAATATCTGTTCAAGTAATTTTCATGGCTTTAACAGCGCAGTCGGTCTCACTCAGTCTCATGCGCGTAGATAATGCTCTCGCGCTCCCACTCACAGAGATATTAAAATTTAGTTTAGGGGATGATTGGCCCCTTGGATCGGTCTGTCTTCTTGTCAAAGCTTTTAAAATAGTTGTCGGATGAACATATATAAAAATGGAGCGTCAGAATTTACGTGAAGTTGACTAATTATTTTGAGACCCTTAAAGCGTCTGTCAAGCAATATGGCCGACGGAAAGTGTCTGGGAGCATTGACAATTTATTTTTAACTATACACTCGAAAACATATATAAAAAT